GCAAGACGGCTTAGTAGGTGAGGGCGCTTGCTGCCAGGCCTGACCACCCGAGCTCCATCCCCAGCACCCAAATGACGAGGGAGAGAACCAGTTCCCACAACTTGTCCTCTGACCTCCACACATGCACTGCACCATTGTTATGAACAGAGAGAGAGAGAACAAATGTAATAAAAAGTAACCAAATTTTGACAATGAAATTTAAAAGGAGAGTGTGTATTGTGGAGCTCTCACTTATGTGAAATGCCAAAGCAAACAGGAGAAGTGGGTGGACAGGAATATTCCAGCTGTGAGAACCAAAACAAGGTGTCTATTTCAGTATTCCACCCTCAGGATGGGCCGAAAACAAAACACAAACACTAGTCCACGAGTGTACGTAACATTAAACACGAGTGTGTGTAATGCACACCATCCAAAGGCGAAAGTACTCTAAATGTCCTTCAGATAGGTTTCATTCCGTGGAATAGTGCTCAGTGAAGAGCAGCGGAGACTGACGAAAACTATGATGTGAAGGAACCTCAAAGGTACTATGCTAAACGAAAGAAGCCAGACACGGGAGAATACCTATACTATGAACCAATTTCTGTGAAATATCCCTGAAAGGAGAGATGGAGAGATAGCTCAGTCATGAGAAACTGAGCTCACATTCCCAGCCCACCACACAAAAGGCTGAGTTCAGCAGCACTCATTTATAACCTTAGCCGTGGGGCGGTGAAGATAGGTGGATTTCAGGGGCTTGCTGGACAGTCAGTCTAGCGCATCAGTGAGCTTGAAGCTCAGTGAGAGACCTTGTCTCAAAAACTAAGGGGAGGGCAATAGAGGAAGACATCCCACATTGATCTCTGGTTTCCACACGCATGTACTCACAAGCATGCACTCCCCCACACACAAGTGCCACACATATAAAAGAAGAAAGGGGGGGGGTGGACAAGATGGCTCTGTGGGTAAAGGAACTTACTGTAAACCTGATGACCTGAGATTGATCCCTCAGAACACATGGTAGAAAGAGAGATAGAAAGAAAGAAAGAAAGAAAGAAAGAAAGAAAGAAAGAAAGAAAGAAAGAAAGGAAGGAAGGAAGGAAGGAAGGAAGGAAGGAAGGAA